TGTCAGTCGACCGTAAGGTTACATTGCGCATATCTTCTTCGTTGGATTATGTGGCGTTTGGCATTGTCTTGGCTGTATCGCTAAATTTGGATGATACGGACAGGCAGTAACGAAATGGCGCGTGCACAATGTTCGATCACTATTTTAGGTGCAACTTACAAGCGTCAGACGCGGATAAACAAAGGCAGCAAGACCACGTGGACATTAAAATGAAGAGCTGATGAAGCTAGTCTGTGGTATTGCAGGAAGTTAAACAGCTGCTTGCGGTCAATGAATGCGATGAGCACGCTGGCAAAACGCGCAACGCTGATGGATCTTGTTGTATGCGTCACAAAGTTAAGCTTTTCCGTGTGCTCGTGATTTTGGCTTTATTGTTGTGACCGAAGTCTAAAGATGTGAAGAATTTCGCAACATTGTTCATTGCGAGGGAACGAATCTTGCATACAAGCTTGAGTGGGTCGATCCTTCTAATCCACATCGAATTTGTAGCGCATTGGGATCACACTTAATATTGCTTCAATTTTAGACTTTCGGTCTCGATACGCTGACACAGGTATTTGATGCCCGCGTCGTAATGTTGGTCCATTTCGGGCAAAGCTGTCCGCGTGTAAACAACCTACACGTTGTACGCACAGATTATCGATGGATAAAAAAGAAGATATAGCCCCACTGCACCACCGTATATGCTCATTTATTTCATTCGGCAATGATTGGTTGTATATATTGCGTTGAATTTGTTGGTGCAAGGTGATGCGGCTCATGCGTGGGAAGGAAGTTTGTATGCTTGCGTGTTTGTGTGTGTTACGGATTGTGCTAAAGTAGTACAATTACTATAAATTAGGAAGTGCACGATCTAGCAACAGCGCTGTAGCTCAACTGGTATCCCTTGGCAGGGGTACAACAGAGGTATGGATCATGATAGCCGGTACCAGCAAGAAAGTTAACCTTCGGGTCCTGGTGTGACGGGGTCTACCAGCACCGTCCTGCCAGACAGTGACGTTCCCCACTTATTTGACTGTTGTCCAATCAAAGACTTTGTGGTACACATCAGAGAGAAAGGGAGCACGACAATGATCAAAGGATTGGTCAACTAAGTGGTTGGTCAGCTAGCGAAGAGATGCAAAGTATGGACAGCAAGCGACGATATGCGTGCACAGAAGATAAGAGATAACACACAATATACAACTTAGTTTTGGTTTTACTACTTCGGCCACAAGCATCATCTACTGAGCGCTCACGTCAACCTAGGAATTCAACAGACTTAACGGACGTTTTCATGAGAGGCCAACGTGTGTGTCATCAGTGATTCATTTCTGTCACGAGTTTTATGTGCAATTTTATCGTCTTGCGTTGCACACTGTATTTCGTGAGCACTTGCTGCGTTTTACCCTATTTTTGTAAGGCTAATTGCTATTTGGGACTACTGTAATAAATAGTACTAATAAAAACGCTTTTTATATGCAAATGTTTAATGTACCCTAGTCAAATAATGCTGTTTTTAAACGATTTAGCCAACAGATATCTTTATTCAAAAATGTGCTTTTCATTTTTTGTATTTCTACCTGTCATTCCGAGCGCCTTTTTTGCGTTCGACAGGGTACTGTGTCGTCCCATACATACGCTACGAAGTTTAGTAGCAGTAAAACCTGTAGGTCGATCTAGTGCTTAGCCCTATACGATATCGGTGCGCATCTACCTGGACTACCTCCTACTCTTCCTCGCTGGCTCAGTCTGCTGCCTTATCCTTCGGGCATCATGGGGGACACTCCGCAGAGGGCACGGGGAATCAGGTATCCAGTCCGAGGTGCAGACAGGGCGCTGAGTCGTGGAAAACGACTGGTACCACTCCGATCACGCCCGATGGCCGCTGACGCAGCGGGACGGGTCCGATCATATCACGTTCCAGGCAAGTTCGCTCCGTAGGACCAGAAAATCAAGCGCGGCGACCGGTCTGGCAACTTGAGACTGACGTAGAATAGCAGGAACTAGGTGGGGGACGACAGCTGACGGCGTCTTTCTCACTCGGGGATATCTCGGTTGTTGCGCCCCTTGCAGTTTGCACGCCGCGCTGCCTCTTGTAGCACACGCATCGGCGGAAAGGCCCTCTCAATTTTGACCTGGGCCCCACTAGAGTAAATTTCCCGCGCAGGGAAAGGGACCGGTCGGTTGTCCGGCTCTTTGGGGTCTTTGCCGCTTGGCCGTTGGTGCCCGAAGGCGCAAATTGGGGACGCTACGAAGTTTCGATACCAGTCGCCTGACACGATTAGGTAGTGAATTGCCTGCATCATTAGGCGGAGCCGTCTAGCGCCAACTTTCATGTCACCTCGCATCTAGCGGTATCACTAACTCGTTTGCGTCAATATCCCGCGTGACATCATTTGTGAGCTCATTCAGCACCACTTTCCCAGCGTAGCAGCATTCCTACTGCGTCGCCGCCTCCTGCCCCCCCTTTCATCCGCGCCACTACGGGTCATCGTTGTAATTTATGCCATCCATTTATGAAAACTCATCACATCCATCAATAGAATCGTCCAGAGATCTGTTGTAGTGCAACAATGTCCCAGCACGCAGAAGTAGACATTTTATCACACGGACAGCTGATGCCATCAATCTCTTCGGCTTCGTCGGCCCTGCATCCGAAGACGGAGTCAAGTCTAGTCACACAAGTCGAATAGAGCATATCGTGCGTCGCTCGATGTCCCTCTCTCACACCTCCTCCCCGTGAAAGGATGATGCTACACACTCTTTGCGTCGTGCCATGTGTGCGAGCGCAGATCCGTGTGACGCATATGTGTTCAGTACCAAATCGTTATCGTCGATTCGTGTCGATTGCCCTCCACTGTACCACTAGCACCTTTCTATGGCATACCACGGAAGCGAAGGGAATCCTACATGCCGTCCGCTCGATGACTGGTCCCTTTTTTTCGAACTTGACCTTGTTGATGTGTCTGGCTTCCGGCTTCTGCAATCATCAGCAGAAAGGCCGGCCCCATTGATGCGCAACCGACTCTCGATGCTGTCTCGTTTGGTCGCAACATCTTGCTGGGACGCGGACACGGACACTGGATATTACGCATGAAGCACGACCGGGAAGATGCGCAGCGGGACCAGGATTCAAAGTCATGCAACGGGCAAAACAGCGTGGAGCTGCATCGGTTTGCTTCCTTCGTGCACGTAGCCTTCTGGCCTACTCCTTCTGCCGCTTGGCCACATAATGTGCCTGCATAAGTCGGCCCTGCAGTCGCTTCGATGAGCCACCTCCCCCCTTCTTGCCTCTGCCGTGAGTGGCGGTGCAGTCGCGTCGTGTCGACCCTAATGCAAACCTTACAGCACGCGATCGCTACGTGGGCGCTCTTTCCTGCGTCCGTCCACATTGCTACGACGTGTCTCGTGGTACCTGCGAGAGTACGTTTTTGCCACAGAACTTGTGCTGAACGTTCCGAACAGAATGACGACGGCTTCTCCGGAGGCGTTGAGTTGTTGCGATGTGATCGACGTGACTCAACGCTTGAATACCGTGGCTTGTCCCGCGATGATTCTACCTGTGGACAGCGCGCGCAGCAGTGACACACCTCAAACTCGCCGTATTCCACGAACGAAGAAATGCGGGCATGTTTGTCCACGTGGCGCATCCATCGAATTGAATTTGTGTCATGCGGTCTTTCGATCAAGAGTAAGTTGCAAGTCGGTACGAGTCAGTTTGGGCGAGAGGGACACTCAGGTCGTAGGCACGAGCGCATGTAAGCTCTGTCATCGTCTTGCTCTGGTAATGCGTTATCGTCAGGCCGGTCAACTCTTTGGTATGTATTCCTGTCGGGTCGATCCGCACAGGAGCGTTGCATCGCCGTCGGCGCCGCCTCCGTTATCACTGGCGTTGAGCTGCAGAGCTGTGTTTTGCCCCTGCGGCACCGCTCGAAGCCGAGTGTTGTGATGCATCAAACTACAGCCGATTCCTGTAATGAGACTCTGCAAGACGAAAGGCCTGAAATAACAACGTTACATTACGCTGCCATAAGGAAGGTCTTTGTCTCGGAGTGTTCACCGCTACGCAGCAGCATAAGGTTGATCAAGATGTTGAGCTTCAGCAGGTGCTTTTTCAAAGACCTTTTCGCACTCTCCTCGTTCGTAACATAGTGGCTGGGAACTGACCAAATGGTGCTACACCGGACAATAAGAGGGTACGCAACCATTGCCGTAAGAGTCAAGTCTGCTTTGCCCTTACAGAACTCGTACAAACATCGCCCAATGACAAGTGTCATTGCCAATCCCTTCGTGCGAGTAGCGCGCAGTTTCAATGACACCTCCTTCGAACGTCTTCTACTGGTCCAGAGTGCGTACACACCACGCGATTGCAGTGATTACCTAGCATGTCACACTGGTATTTAATCCGCAACGCATCGCCTGCTTCCTCGACTCATCGAAGATTCGCGCGGCTTAAATCTCTATGCTGATCAAAGAGCACGCTGTCGCTAGCTTCTTGTTCCGCTCACGTAGCTTTCGATTGTGCGTAGCTGCAATTGGTCTGACTACGGTGTTGCCCACCGTCAAGACCACTACTTCCAGTGATGGACACCCATGCAGCCACTATTGCGTACTCGGAGAATCGCACGTAGTCTCTGCTACGCGTCTTCTTCAAACCGTCGTGTATCTGCACCTTGTCGGCTCGAGAAGTTGCACTCACACTTGCACTTGCTGTTGTGTCTTGTAGTCTTAGTTGTCGCTTGTACAGACTCCACCGCTGACTCGATGCACGAGTGATGATACATTACAGCTGTGGCGATGCCATGCTGAGCTTTGTACAGACTTTAGCACACACTACCGGTGAATGGTACAAGCATAGATTCTGCACTGTTCCCTCGATCACCGCCTCATATCGATGTACGCCTTAGTACGTCTAGCGACGCCAGGCGAGCAAACGATGAGCTGAAAGCACATTTAATTCGTTTCTTTAATGCAGAATTCGCACGTATATGCAGATATCCATATCCTATCGTCAACAGCTACCGCTCTTCGGCCACTAGCTGGAAATCGGGCGTGATAAGGGCTTTGTCGAACACTCGCGACACGTCGTTCACGCTCCCTAGGATCCGCAGCAACGGTGTCAACATATCCGATTGGCTCATGACACTTGCCACGCGACCGAGCGCATCATCCCACTTGAAACGCGTGGAGCCGCGCATTGCAATCGCTTGGCCTAGCAGCTTTTGTGCCAGCGCTGACATCGTGCCATCGTTGTTGCACAGGTGAGGAAACACGTCGCGCAGCGTTTGCTCCGAGATCGTGACGGTGAATAGAGTATTGGCAACAAGAAAGCCCGTTGCGTCTTTCGTTAAACGATCCACTTCCAGCCTTACGGGAGCAAACCAGCACGACGTTTGTCGCCAGGTCTGAAGCATACAAACGACGCCATGCTCAGCGTTGTATACCAAGTCCTCCGTCATGGAGTTTCGCAAGAAATCCAACTGGGCGCTCTCAGCGGTCTCGGACGTCTTCGATCCCTCCTTGAAACGCACGCCGTAGCGAAAGAGTCGAAAGTACTCCGCTGCGAATCGCCAGGCGTTCATTTGCGTGACAACAGTGTCGGATCGAAGGCGGCGATACTGCTCGAGTTCGTCGATCGTACGACGTAGCTTTCGCGTCTGCTCTTGCAGGTCCAAGATGTACTGCTCCTTCTTCCTCCGGTATCGAATCTGTCGTGTTCGACGGAGCTCGCGCAGTCGCTGTTTCTCGGACAGCAGATACACGGCCTTCGTCTTCGCACCGCTCGAGCCCTTCACCGGGTGTCGGGCGTTACACAAAGCCCGAAGCGATGGGCCTGCTTGACACATGCTCCGCTTCACCTCAAGTAGGTTGCTCGAATAGAAAGTCATCTCGTCGTACGTAGGGAACAGAGCAGTTGGACTATCGTTGATACGCGCGTCCACTTTCATCCCACGCCCACTGTGATCAGCAAAGGTGGGCAGACGGTCGAAAGGTATCTGACACCGAACGTGGCCGTGCAACGCGTCGTGACTCTGAAAATCGCTGTTTGACGGTCGATGGACGCGGTCGTTCATTGGTGTATGGCGTACGCGAACTTCCATCGTCGTAGCTGACACGCGAGACACTTGCAAGTGACACGATCGTGTGTAGTCACTTTGTGAGTGAGTTCGTAATGGAGTGAGACCGTCAACCTTTTAGAGAGAGATGATGGCGAAAGAGAAGAGGGACCATGTAAACGCGATGGTGAGGCTGATGGAAAGGACATCAGTATTGTGACGTCGTTGTCAACAGACTCAACGGAGCTATACTGTCCTGCGCCTCAACTGTACAAAGCCCCAAAGCTCTGTCTGACGCTCTCGCTGTCGCAAGGCAGCCGGCTGGTCCAAAGACTTGATGAATTCTATCCCTGTGCGCCCTGTTCTTTGGATTCACGACTTCCGTTTCCGATCGTCGACACATCACGGTACAATACATGGCCGGTACAATGAAGCATCGCCACGACCAGACTCGAACTCGAATACAGAGAACGCTGACCTGCCAGCTCTGTCCGACGCACACATGGCTGCTGTCACGCTGGCTTCCTTTCTGCTGCCCCTTCAAGATGGCTGCCTCCGACCCACACTGAAGCATATGACAGCCGTCGCTCGCCTTGGAGTCCATACGGAGACATCAGGAACCGCGTGCCTCAATGTGACCGCCAGAACGGCTGTACATGAAGAATTGGGGCTGCAAATCGACTTCTGACCAGTGGATAGCGTTCACGTACGTGGATTACACCGCGTGCTATGTAAACGTCATTCATGCTGATTGCGCTTTGACGGCCTTTTCTGCCCGCTTTCGGGTTGTGACAATCGCGTATCCCACACCTTGCCCTATTGTTTTGATTGCATGATTATGCAACAAGACAACGACAACAGCGTCGATGGTCGCGACATCGCAGCATTCGAGCTGCACGGCAAACCAATTATGACGTGGGCAGCTGACAAATATAGGGTCAGGACATAACCAAATGCTAAAGCAAAATACAACTCCATCGGCATGACCACGCGATACGCATTCATCAGGGCACACAATGACAAGTGTGGTCATTGGGATACAGGAAGTGTTGACACCTCCTTGGCACACGATGTGTACACGGGTGATCCAGATAGCCTTTTCGGTGCGTGATGGTCAACACACGTGCAGCACTCTTTCCTCCTTTGAACCATAAGCACAGATACCACTTTCTCGTCTCTACACATGCGATGTGGGTCCCTCGTTGTCACACCGTCATCAAAGAAAGCAAAAGCCTGGCGCCACATCCGAGATTTCTACATCTTACGACCGAACGGTGGCTGTAGATCCGAGTGATCGTCAGGTTTTTTTTAGTTTTACCCCGGACTACGAATGTCGAACAAGGGGCGATCACTAACAAAACCGTCCTTCTGTCTAAAGGAGCGAGAGTTTTACGCTCATGAGGAGTGTGTCCATTGCCAGTGGTTATGAGTCTATCACATACTGCTGGTCGCCGATCAGGCGTAGTGACCGATTACGATCAGTTGATCCTTTGACGCTCTCAAACACAACGTCAAGCTACTACCAGGTCGGCAAGTTGTGCATACGTCGCTCTTATCTGACGAAATAGGTCTCGAGCATACAACGGTCGCATCAATTGAATTGATTCGTCTCGTCCTCGCCATCATAGCCACAACTACTTAGACTACACGATTAGTGGCAGTCCGAACTGCACGCAGGACGCGTAAGATCTGGTGCCTGTTGCTCATCACCACATCAAGATTCTTCTTTGTGCTAGCTTGCGAGACTGGTAGAGCGAACCATAGCATCGTTCAATAGCACATGCAATCGTCGTAGATTGCGTTACCGTCGCGAAATGTCGTGTTTGCCGCGTAAGCACATACTACGACAACATACTTGAGCAGGCACTCAATACTTTCAAGTTGCTGTTGCGAGCTTGGCGTATCGAAAGTATGAACAAGGTCGACCTGTGCGATGACACGAGCAACGAAGCGCTTGAGCAGTACAAAACTGTAAAGCGCAGTCCATTCAAACTGTCGAGTCTTAGCGGCGTTAAGATGGTATTTACAAAGCTTGTTGCCGCACAGCCACAATGTACAAGCTATATCGTGATTCTAGCTGACATTGGTTGTGGAGCGTTCAATAAGCGGTGCGCGTCTAGCAAACGCGCGATCTGCTTCTTACTCTCGCTACACTGTAGCGCCCTGATGATGTGCGCACATGCAGCGCATAGTTGATATCATCGCGCGTTAGCTGCACTGCCTGCGTCATACGGTGAACTTGTTCGCGTACTTGACGCGAGTGGTCCCACGCGGAGCCGTAAAAGAACATTGTGCTGTCACGAGTCCGCGTGGGACCGAGGTCGTCAGATGTAACAAGTCTCGATTCGTCGATCGGAGCAAAGTTCTGTACGTCTGCATTCTTTATCGGATTGTGTGGCGCCGCGATCGACGATTCCGCTTGGGTAAACGCCTAACGTCGGTCATATCTCGTATGATCGAGTTTTGATTGGGTCTCACTTCGAGTTTCTGACCCGTTTGCAGGAATCTTCGCGAAACTAATAATGGCTATGTGGTTTCAAGGTCGCATCATCGGCTGAAAAATCCATAAGCCTCCTTTGTGGGAAACATTTTATTCAACTAGACGGCATACTTCTATCAGAGTGGTGCCGGGTGAGGGTGGACGTGCGCATGTGGACATCGCTAATCGAGACTGAATGTTGCGCGTGTTTTGACGCTCATACAGCATACGAAGACCAATTGAACTGTCGTAAACTGGAACAGTTGCATGCTATCTACAAGTGACTCTCCGGCAGACCCCTTCCCCGTCTTCACAACACACCAGCGCTTTCGAAGGACATGCTGAAAGTCCTAGCGTAGTAGAATGGTCATGTAATCAGAGACACGGTGTCGATGCGCGATTAAGGAGCAACTTTCATGTGCTATTAACACAAAAGACAGCTCACACAGTTTGACAAGCATGTAATTTGGCATTCAGCTAGTGTCATCGAGAAGTTTGCATTTGCAGTTTCATATAGCTATGACGCAAAGCCTGTGATGATGCTAAGAGTCACATGCTAAGTCAATGGACGTGATGAGTCGCCTAGTATGTGAGGCAATCTTGATTACGATGCCAAGGCCATCGGGTCCGTAAAGTCGTGGGTGGCATGTTGGCAAACGACGATGGAAAGAGTCGTATTACGGTCTTTTTGGAATAGTCAGGGGTTTGCAACGTAGAATCGTCGTTTTTCTGTATTGCCATAAGGAAAGCCGCGTGACACAACCCTCCCATATGCGTGCAGCAAGTCATTGAAATATTTGAAGTGCAGACTTTCCCTGCAATGTCTCTACATAAAATTTTGAGTGATTTGCTTTTGTAGCAAGTTACATTGTTTTATTGACCCAAACCACATGAAGCACTATCCTTTGTCTGTGGCAACCAACCGTTGGAGACCTTTCAGGCGCGTATCAATGACAGCAGCTCGTGATTGAAAATCCGATTTGCACCAGACGTTCATTTCCATAGAGCCCATGAGTGAGTGCCCTACCTCCGAGTACTCCCGCTATTTACAATCGTGCGAGAGCACTCTCATGGTTCGACCCGAGCAGACACGTGCAAAAGCTCCGTGTATGCGTCATAGTCACCTATCTCTGAACAACCGTTATTCCGCCATTTCGGATTTCTCAGTCTCAGCCGCACAGCCACACCTGTCGTAGAAGAAACGCTTCCAGTCTTCAGCAATGGACACTTGCATTCTGCACCAGCCAAGCAGCCGAGTGCTAAGCGAGACGTCCATTGCGAACGTTGTTAGTCAGCGCGACAGCTCCTTTGGTGACACTGCTGAGGTCCCCGGTGGGTATGCCACCCATCGTGATTTCCAATGGTCTAGCGGTGTTGCAGTGCAGGCATCACACGCATCAGTCGAGGGACATTATCAAGATGTCGAACATTGGCATCAAGAAGACCAAGTGCACGCAAGCCACGGTTCGACTTTGTGTTTGGACAGAAAGAGAAACCGACACGAGGTATGCGGTCTTCGTATTCCCGCTTCGATGCTTTCTTCGGCCGCACGTACCAACGCGGCTGTTGCCAAGATGTCGTCGCGGGTCGCGCTATACCAAGCGTCCATGCAGGACTGGTTCATTGACCACGAGAAACAACAACGTGAGATTCGTCGGACTCGGCAGATAAAGTACAGGCAAAAACAACAAGACAACATGGCAGCCCTGGAAGACAGCATTCATCAGATACAGCTTGACATTTCCAAGCTCGATCAGCGTCGTCGGGCGTTCGCCACAGCTATTCCGACAGAAATGACACTTTGGAACGTTGCAGTGGACTACTTTCGTTTGTTCCGCTTCGGGCGTCAACCTATCGAGAGGGCAGAAAAGTTGTCGACTTCCCCGATGAGTACACCTAGCGTCCAGCTCGACTTTCTGCGCTCAACTATGGCTCCAGACGTTCTGTATAACGACGGAAGTGGTGTTGAGGCGATCATGAGTAGCTGGAAGCACTTTTCGCTCTGTTTTCGAGACGCCGAGGTTGATCTAACTGGCTTGGAGAAGAGTGGCGTCGATACGCTGATTGCCAGCACTACAACCGCGTTCTGCATAGACCAGCAGACGCTCACCCGTGTCTTTCCACACTTATGCGGCGAAGGTGCAGGTCGCGTCGAGCTCCAACTTGCTGACAAGCTTTTGGGCCGAGCAGTTGTCATGCGTGGCTTGACGCGATTCGAGTGGGACATTGGGTACGGTCGTGTGACTAGAATGACCACCGAATCGGACTTGCTGACGCCAATGCTCGAGTTGCTAGGTACGCTGGAAGATGTGGTGCTGGTGTGTGGAAAGGCTCTAGTCTCATTGAATCTGAACTGAGTGCACTCGTTGGTAAGGTGGAGTAGCCTTACAGTCACTAGTTAGTCGCATGAAGCAAGTAATGTTTAGCTGAAGTACATGTTTACACGAACGTTTTCTATAATCGGTCTTGCTGACATGCTATCAAAAAAAGAATGCAGCTGCGGATCCGTCTGATTGGACTGAATGGTGGACACGTGCTTCATGTGACAGATCCTTTGTGTATACACGTAGCAGTACCAATACTTCTTGCTTACTTCGTCGCTCGCTTTGAACTAAGTTGCGCGTGTAGTTGAAGCTATTCCACTTAACAGCCACTTTGCTTCACTACAGAATCACATAGGGCGCCATACATGACATTATCAAGCCCGTTTTTTATGCGCAAGTATATGTTTGATCAAATGTGTAATGTTCATGTCCACGTACACTATTCAAAGAGACATTACACAGTCTTTGTACATTTTGATTGGCCGATCGATTCGTCGTAACGACACCGGAAGTCATAGCTCAGCAGATACCACCAGAAAGTCTCACGACCTCATCGATACGCCACAAAGCATGACGATGCCCAAGAGCTTAGCTCACAATGCCCAGCCCATAGTGGATGCCAAGTGTGCAATCGACAGTTTCGCGAGAAGGCCGGCACATTCGATGCATGAGAGTTTTCGCGACGATTAGCCTTAGCTAATCGTTGCGAATTTAGCCATGATGATTGTTCGGTCTGTTCATATGAAGTGGTGCTGCTGTGGTTAATTTCTCTAATCGATGAGCGTACCGTATATTGCTAATTGTACATGATGATGCATTACATAGCCGCTGTTTCGTACATACTGAATCGCTTGCATCAGTAATTCGCCATGTCTGTTAAATGAGCTCACGTCAATATGTACGACCGCTTGGCACTCCAGCTGTCGCATTCAATCTTCGATCGGTACTTTCCTACGCCGATCATGATTGATGCGATTTGATGAAGCGCACCTCAGGTTGTTGATTGAGGTCGGAGTGACTTGTGAACCATTCGCGGTCTAACCTCGATCATCGCAGCATAAAGTATCTTCTCAATGCTCTGCACGCTTGCATTCATATCCATTCGGATACTCGTCGTGCTAGAAATAAAAAGCTGGAGCCTAAGTAACCTGGGCGGATTATGTGAAAAATTGCATACTGGTGCACAATGACTACAGTACATCTGTCGTTCTTTTTGGCGAACAAAACAGTCGACACTGCGCGTAGCGGCACGTCATTCAGCCGTCCGCTATACACTTACCGAATGTGATGAATGAAACGATTGAAAGCTGTCGAGAAGTGCCTTGAAACGGCTTTGCTCGAGTGACATTACAAGCAATAAAAGAAAGACATGTACGCTCGACTCGAACTGACGAATAAGTACACCCTATTGACTTCATCGAAAAGGATTTCGATACCCATTGCACCGAGTGCAATCCAGCGTAGTAATTGATGATCCGGCTGCACAACGAGCAATCGCTGCAGCCAATATTAAGCCTGATCAAATATAGCTATATTGAGGGTGACATTGCTAAGCTGCTGCATCGGCATTCCAAGTTCAGTTTCTTTACCCTCCTAATTGTAAGTATTCACTGCATCAGGACCGTTTTAGATCTTGTGTCAATTATCTAACGTTAGTATAGTGGCGATATGATGTATCTCGTTTGACTTTTTGAGCGATCACTGAGCACATTTCGGTGCTCTTGCAAGTGGTTAAGTCAATTCACAATATTGTTCATCACTTCTCGTACACGAAGTTATCCCGGTGATGCACTTATTGTTGTCTTATGCCAACAACAATGCCACTGTGCAAACGGTATATGGCTTTTGAGTAAGGTTGTTGTGATGCATGCATGACTGAACAAGTGTGCTCGAGATTCATCGCCTAGTCTTACATTCTTCTAAAGCTTCGCTGTTGTTGCGGTCAGCATTTTCATTATTGATGCGCAAAATGTACAGCCATTTGCAAAATGACAAGTGGCGATCGTTTTCGGCTGGGTGGGTCCATTGTAAGAACTCGCGCAACGAAATTCTGACTCATTGGTGATTGTGTTTCAAAATAATGTTACCCAATACAAGTCTACCATATTGCCGTAATTGAAGACAATATATCATCAACGAGTGCGGCTTGTATCCGTCCCACCTTCAAGGCATTCTGATACCTCCGACATGCGAAGAAATATCGTCAGCAGGATGTTATTCGAGATAATTTGAATCCTTTTACGGTAATCAAAACTTAAAAATAATCTGAAAGCGATTTTTAAGCTTCACTGACTATGCGCTTTTTTAAGTGCCACGTGGACCGTTGAATAAGCTTTTGTCAAATATTCTGCACTGTGCACATATTGTGCCAATGCCAATTGCCCTTCGCACTATCAAAATGTATGTAATATGCACTTCACAGGATGACCAGGCTAGTGCTACGGCACTATTTGTTCTTTTCGGCAGAGATTCGGGCTGGAAATTCGCGAATGTGTATATGAGTTCTTTTTTTCTTAAGTATCAATGTATCCTTCTGCAGAGTTTCTCTTTACCATTTTATCGATCGCGCATTTATTTATAAAGTGTTTCGTAATTACATAACGAGGTGAGAACATAAATATTGTAGAAGGTAATATAAATAAAAATATAATCGCACCACAAGATGGAAAGTTCGAACATATACACCAGCTAAACACGATCACTACAGAGCACTACTGATGTTATCTAAACGACCGAATGCACATTTGCAATATATCACATAAATATAGATAATATTTTTGATAATGTTACATTAATTCTTAAAAAATGTCGCTCCTTATTATACAGAAAATGCTTTCCGGCGATTGGGTATGCCAGATCTGTCTATTGTCTCCGTTGATATGGTATATATACCCTATAGGTTGTGGCATGCCAGCACCTTTGCCGTATCAAGCATAACCGCTACGATGCAAAAAATCAATTTTTATGTCATTTAAGGTACAGCAACTACGGTAAGAATGTAGCTTCGTCGAGGGTAAAATATCGTGCTTCGTGTTCGATAAGACCGTAAAGACCGCAGTGCTATGCATGTGTCTTTGTTTGCTGTACTTCAGATATCATAATTGCATCAATCTTTATTGCATCCGTACTGCACGATCCGTATCAACATCAACATCACTACCACCATCAGTAACTTCTTCTTTTGTGCTGACCTTAACATTCCATTGACATAGCCTGTTTCGTCAGCGTGCGATACATTCAAGTCGTTATGCAAGAATTCGTGGCCACCTGAATGGCTCGAAGATAATGTATACAGATCTCCACTTTCTCTGCTCCTCTTATTGTTGTTTGTCTATCCGTCGCCTCATACTGCTTCGGGTCGTGCCTTTTACATCTTACATAGCATTGTGTACGCGCCATTTCAACACGGCGATATCTTAGCTCACATCATTAAATAATAATAGCGACGGCTGTTACACGTTTTGTACTATGTCAACCCAGAAGATCTGGATGCATAGTTAGGAGCATATGGTTTATAACGATTATACATTACTTTTACCTTACGTATCAAGCAATCACTACCAAATCCAGATTTGCACAGACGTCTGCTAACGAAAAAATTGATTAGGGTTCGAATGGATGAAGTATAAGAGTAGATGAAGTAAAGGTGCGTGAATGTATAAATGATTGATCCCAGGCACGTGTACATTCTGCGGTATAGAACACATCAGTGGTGTTGTTGTTTATTTAGTGCTTTCTCGTTTATTTTTTACCTTGTTCTGAATTTACTCCTATTCCCTATTTGGCACCTTTTTTGCTCGCATCGTGCTACGCAACGTTTTTTGGTAATTGGTCTGGTACATTTCCCCCTGGATTTATACTATGAATAAAAACAAGTTGTAGCAAAACCATGTGTGCAGCGAAATCTGGCCACTCTACGTAAGGTGGGCTGCAGAGAAAAGGATAGGCCTGAGTTACCAGCACCAGACAAGTACTCGAGTTAGGGTCTCTGACGATAACGATGAAGACGTAATGTGTCATTGTTAAATAGAGATCGTGTTTGATGCTTCTTTTTATCGACTTTTCATCCCTCACTGCGGAATCAATGTGTGAGCAGACACAAAATTAGTAGCCACACACAAGGTCAGTCTTTGACGCAGCCCAGTCGCTATGTAAGCACTAGATCGTTATGCGAGAAAAGCCTTTCTGTGGCAGCTGTGTCTTCACAGTTTTTGGTGAAAACCGGCTTATAGAAATCAGGCTGTAGCATCAATTGTATACGAGCGCATGATATGGCGAAGCAAATCCATGCACTGTAAAGGGCGAGCTTCATAGTTGCTATTGACCTACATCCTGTATCACGAGTAGAATGATGTTGCTTGCAAACAACAAGTATCGTGTTTGATCGTACTGGTACACATTGCAAGCAAAGACGTCGCTCAATCATAGTGGTCCTGCATTAGTAGTAAAAATATTCACACTCGCGACAGACTGGCGGACACTCGCTTGACACGAATTGTCGATCATCACTATGAGGATATCAGAAAGCATGAATACATGTTGCATCTGCGTTTCAGACCGCAGAAATTGATTTGGGTCATGTGACAGTGACGAGCTATCGTGAAGGCGACGACACTGTTAATATAATGCGCACCGAAAATGGAAGCTTTCGCACTAGATATCGCAAACGTATCTAGTGTCCTATAGCTTATAATCTAACTAAGTCCGGGGTCTATCCTTACTAGCGTGATCTCATATTTGGCGTCATCGCGATCACGTAAACGTACTGCGCTACATCTCCCACTCTTGATTGTGCGCTCTGACTACTTTAAATGATTACACACGGTGACTCTTTCCTTGTGCCGGAGCTTCACCTCCATATGGTTTTCATAATTGAATACACAGCTGCTAGCATAAGTTCTACATGTCGTCTTTAGCAATAAACAGACAACATTCATTTTTTTGGTAAAGGAACATCCCGCCAATTTGATCTTCAAACATTTCATTTGAGTTGAATGTTTGCATGACATAACGGTCTGACTTGTTAAACACACTTGCAATACTTCCAAGAATAGCGAGGTGCTGACCATCCGACAGGGCAAAGCAGTTATCAAACCATATCTTCTGCATAGCTGGCTGAATCGATTGACGACACTACGTAATGCCGTAACCGTCGCTTCAGGTGGATCCAGCATTTTGTGTTTTATCCAAGTGCTGGTAAGTGCTTATGCAGATGTCAGTTCCACGTCCTTTGTCTACCGCGCCTGGATAGAATAGATGTTAGTTCTATCAGATAAAAACAATCAAGCTGTGTGGTATTTGAGACCAAGTCAATCATCAAGGCCATGAATTGAGGCTCAATACAACGAACTGTTCGACGCTACATGGCGCGGTATATAAGAACGAGTAAGTACGCTGACACAATTGCTAACGCTGAAGAGATATCATCTCAAGACAGATAATAAATATTATCGGGCGGCAGAATTTTTACCGCTGCTATATTCGATCTCTTTTTTAGCACAGTTTAGGTACAAATGTTCATGACCTCATGCTTATGATTGACATGTTGTGGCATCTCAACGAATATCCTTATACTAGCACAACGCGATAGAGTAATCACATTTGCACAATCGCTGTTTGAAGTGGCACAATCGTGAAATGGTATCGCATTCGCTTACGACAGCAGTCGCGAGCTCATACCTTTCGCACAAGTGTGTGACCATCCGAGAGCTCTCCAGTGTCATGTAAACCGACTCCGACTTCGCAAAATTCGAATAAGTGTGTCATTGCGCTGGCTTGAGTACGAGGTATCATTCAACTTATGAAGTGCAGGTGAAGCAGAGTCCGCAACAAGAGCGATATTGGCAAAGGCGGTATACATCTGCAGAAAAGGCACGCTGGCATTTCGTTTTGCATTTCAGTTAAGCCACGTAATCGAAGAAGCATCATTTTGATCCTTGTAGATATCTTCCTGAAGAGTATATGTGCACGTGAAGCAGACTTCGTACTATTTTTGTACCCTCGAGGGCATCTTCTCATGCTTGTTTTTCTTTTAGCTTACCTGTTTAAGTCGCACCTCCGATTTCGATCCTTCCCCGTTTATATTTTGCGAGAGCACGGCGTGTCGAATAGCATTTGCAAGATACATATTGATTGTCATGCGACTTCATTCATTTTCTACAGGGTCAAGCAACAGTAACAGTAGATACCGTAGTACATCACTCATTTGCATTGTCCATGTGAGATGTGCAGACATAAGCACAATCGCCGTTATCACTCGCTGCATCTGACGTGGCTCTTCACTTTAATCGTCTAAAAGAGACCCACTCGTGTACGCGTGAATGCAGTCTGCACGTTGCAAAGATCATGCACTAGTTCAGCGGCGCTTTCTCTTATCAACCCGGATATGCCTGAGCTTTAGTGAAAGATTTCGTCATCGACCAAAGCACTGCTCATTGTGTCCATGTACCTTGTATAACGACTCGTAAGCGCGTCGAGCTAGCAGAATCTTGACCAATTTTGACCTACTGATGCATCTCTTACTGCACAGGCAAGAGAGACATGAATCGATAGTATGATATATTGTGGACGCGTGGGATACACGGAAGGTGCTGAAGTGTTGCAAGATGGACATGAACACGTGGTGGTCTTTGCTTCTGCTATACATAACGTACTATGTGCACCAATGCTCGTATAAATTTACACCATGTAGGGCGCAAAAGCGCATAATTCCTTTCGATTGGGATGTGGTCCTCGGGTAGCAGATGGGAGGTATTTGTGGATGACTGACATGGGCTAGGTTCGCGGACGTGTGATGCATCGTCCCATTCATGAACGCCACGTATTGTTTTCCTGCAGCAGCTATGAGGCCCAAACTCTACTGGGCATAACTGTCTACCACTTTTTCTTGATGTAAAGTGGTCGCGTAACAAAACACGTCGTAAACAGAAGGCTTCCGACAGCTCAGCTTGTTCCATCTACCGGTCGCATGCAGCTAGCATATGACCTGCATGTGCACCACTGGGTTGCAACTTGCAAGACAGCTTTGCAGTGAAAGCCGGAGTAATCATTACAACATGACGACGAGCACACGTGGCACTTCGATTGACGTTTTGAATCTTCAGTGATGCCGAAAATGCAGCGACTGGTACAGTCGTGAGCCCTGTGTTTTTGCTCTCATCAACGGACCGTGTGTGGGTGCTCGGCGACGCCAACGGCGAACACAGCGATAGTTGTTGTCCCTTTCATCCATCACATATTTGCTAAATGAAATCAGCACCGTACACATCCACTGGGACTCGTCGTTCATGCTTTGTCGCTTAGGCGGTCCCCGTCGATGGGAGCCATAGTAGAATCGTGGACTCTGTTGCTGCACGTGAGAAAAATGACGCTGAGCTCATTGATTTTTCGTATGCTAATCGAGCGATCGCTAGAGAAAGTCCGCGTGATCAGGTTTGGCATCCGCCTATAAACGCCCCCAATCATTCGTAGCAACTGTCCAGAGATACAGTCGTATAAAAGATTCAGGCCGACAGTGCCTATCCCTTCCATCTTATCATACATTATACGTATGTATCATCATTTTACATCTCGGGGACTCGACAGCAGACCTACGGAGACGAATTACTCCCTCCTCAATGAACTCGTGCACGCTCCGTCCGCCCAACGATCGCGACCTGAGTGACGACGTCATCGGCAATGTCATGGAAGGCAGAAAGTCGAACCGCCACTTCGTCACCCACGACGTCATGGCAGTTCAAGATTGGCGGCGTCCATCGCACCGGACGTTCTGCCAGCCGCCACCGCCCACTCTGTACGCGAGTCAGGCGACTCGCACAAAGTATACGGACAGCAGTCCTCGCGTTCCCGAACGAGATGCAGCTGCAGCTATTGGTTTACTTTTACTGATGAACGAGACGAAGCGACACGAAGTCCCATCTCCACGTGCTCACAGCTGGTAGCCGGTTGCGACACCGCAGCGAAGGCGAAGTTCACAGCTCGAGACCGACGTGGGGCCGTGAAGAAGGGATGGGTGAGACGTACTCGGGTGTAACCCAAACGTATCATGAGGAAATAGCTGATTGGGGGATGAGGATCAGCGTGAACGTGACCTACCGAGCACTGCTTCGAGCGACAAAGAAGCCTCAGCGTCGACGTCACGACTTTGCAAGGCGCGACGCCGTAAATTGGACGACCCCCCTCTCCCTTCTGCTATCGCTGCACGAGGAGAGCGGGGTATGTGTGTAATCTAAATCGTCGTACATCAATTGAAAAGCGCTTTTTATTTGCATGCCTTGATACACGACATTCAGCTGTAGCCAAGAATAAGGTGCTCATGCTGACGCCATCACAAGCATATGGAGCGGTCATCCGTTGATTGCGCGACGTAAAGCGTACGTCTTATGAATCTCAGATCTCAAAGCGTCACGAGCTCTTGCCGCGACCGCCGGACTTACGTCGGGACGTCGGAGCAAAGCGAATCTCCTACCTTCGTCATTGCCTTCAAGTCACTGTTCAGGCGATAAAAGGCGGAGAGCCTAGACATGTCGACGACTGACTTCCTGGCAAATGTATGTGTACACAGTTGCCTCAATGAGTCGAGATAAGCGCTGCACTTGTTCATCTATCTGGCTCACATCGATGCATTCAGATTAAACAATCGCTCGACGTCACACACTTCAACGCGATGTATCAACAATGTCTGACCCTAGCACTCCATCGTTATCATTAGATCGGCTGTCATTCGAAGGAATCATAAATAACAGTAAGGCCAGCCCGTTGCGTGGAGATGTTCGCACTCTTCATTCGGTTGCTGTACCTCTCATTATTGCTCTCGTACACTGTGCTTGCTGCTTCTGTCCATATTCATTAGAAATTGCACAAATCAAGGCATCTTTGCGCGATTTAGAGTCTATGTCACGCAAAGTCATGTGGTATGCAGATGGGATCAAAGCTGTGTAACTCGTGAGGTGAATTGCTCGTAAATTAATGCAACAGCTCTGCAATTTAATTTAGTACCCTTCTCAGGTCATAAATGTGAAATGAGCCTACAATTTGGACAATTGATACTCGTCTTCTGGCAATTGACACGCTTTTGTTATTGCTGCCACAAAGTGCAACACGCGTCACACGTCACAATTGAAACTATATGCCGCAGCAAGTCACGTCGCTATAGCAAAGATATGTTGTTTACGTTTTAAATGACGCGATCCACTAAGGGAAAGGGTCGAATATAAGATGACGTAATCCTACACTTCAGAGTGTCGGCCTTTATTGGCACTGAGTCCGACACTTGTTCGTGTACATGCTGCAAATGAATCGCGTGATTCGTCAGACCGCAACTATATACTCTCGATACTCCACAGGATGGATCAAGCCATTTAAAGCTATTTGAATGAGACGGTGGTGACAGCTGATGCCTTAATCACTCCACATAAGAGTACCGGAACGTTAGTTTTGCAGCCGTTGCGAAATGTTGCGATATTATTTCGCACAATCGAAACCACCACGTGTACAAGGTAGCGGCAATTTTGATATAAGTTCCTTGTGCACATATTCCAGTTCACGCCTTCATAAATATGTTTTCTTTTGCCTTCGCTTCACCGCATGTATGGCAGCGTGAGATCTAGTGAAACCCGGATGATCCAGGATGGCGTGTCTAAACATTGCAACGTCAGCGAGCCTTATAATTGTATCGCCAATTTGGTCATTCATGCGTCTCCAAAGCGAAATCTATCCGTCTGCTTGTCGACACTCATTGTATACGATGTCGGCTACAAGGCACCATGTTGGCCACCAGGAGCATTGCAGGGGAGAAGCAATAGCATGATAAAACAATGTGTCATGGTCTTATAAATGAGCTAGAAACTCGAAGAATCTTCGAAATAATCCTGATTTTCTTGCAGTCGAGTCGCCACACTGCTGTGGAACGCAAGAGATTTTCCCGCCAAATTATGGCACTAGTTAAAGCCGACAGGTCAGTCTCGTTCGTGTTTCGATCTTGTACAGGTCAGTATTCATGTAAGATTTAAAAACGATCGCACTATCCTCTGCACTAACCCGTTCGAAGTAGAAGGCCTACACATGGAAGTTGAAGGATATGAAGCACCAAGTTCATTACAAGTATTCATCGCACATTTCACCACCATTAAGTGGTATTGCTTCGCCTCGTTTGCGGGTAAGTAAAGCTGTCTTGTCCAGATATAAAACTAAAGCTTGGATAGCTTAAGGAATTAATTTCGTATATAAGCATTATTATATCAAAAATATCAAATACAAAGCGGCTCATGGAGGTTTCCAAGTTCACGAATTTTATCGTGTAGTGCAAAATTACGCCATTTCTCCACCTGATTCCTTCCTGCACTTCATTTTACCGACTCAACAACAGACATAAAAGTCCAATTCGACTTGTCTTGTCTGAAGGGCGAGGCAACTGTATCTGCAACTAATTTAGTGAAATGTGGGATCGATTTGTTGTATAAAACTACCTTATACTACTACTGAAAACGAATAGTAGATGGTTATTAACATTGTGTGAGCTTGACATCCATTCTACAAACATGAGATGGATATGTTCCATATAATAAGGTCGACACAAGATTAAAAGAACATTCGCAAGCACATAAATGAACAGCGTGGTAAACAAGGGCAGCAAATGGATTTATCCATACGATACGCCTTAGTGCTCAAGGTCGTTTTCTATCGCACATAATCTGCTTTGACAGATCTCGTAAATTCCCAGACAACGCTCAATGGGTCTGACGATGCTTTCCATTAGCGTTTATACGTCGCAATGTCATATCATCTACACAAAACTTGACTAACCTGAATGTTGTTTGAATAATTATAATAGTAGTCGTTTACTAGTAAAAACTAAATCTGTTTCAATTGCTGGTATTCTAATGACTACGAAAAGACGATGGTTGACATAGAAGTTGACCGTAAGTATTATTTATATGTAAGGCTTGGTATCTCGATTATAACTTTAGCAGGAGATCTTGGTATAATTTTCCTCGGTATGCGAACGCAAATTTCGGCGTTTAAATCTTGCTCTTGTAAATTTCCATGGTGTGTTACAAACAATAAGATTATTTTACTCTTTGTGTATTCAAGATCTGATATTCAATGAATATAGAGACACTGAAATATACGACGGAGGCGCGGAAAGGCGAAGACTTCGTACTCGGCCATTGAAACTTTAATATCTTTTACTTTTTATGGACGATCATATATATTGGAAGAAGGTGGAAAGAAACCACCAATAGTGGACGATATCTGTCATGGTATACTGTGTGCCGCTATGGCGTCATCAACGACAGCGAAATAGATGAAGTTCGTGAAGTCATTACGGTAAATGAGGATAGAAACATGTACTAAAGACAAGTCGTAAAATAAGCGTTTTTTAGTTTTTAAGCTGCGATTTATCACAAAGGCTAGGATTGTTTCGAATTTATAATTAATCTCGAAGCGACGGTACGTAAAGCACGTGGAATTTCAGCGTTGCACCTGGTAGTTCTATAATAAATTGTACTTACCAGGTAATATCAATACAAATGACTGATACTAAAACTCGTCGCGCTTACGTGTCATTTAAATTCTGAAGCAGTCTACAAATTAAACTATTTATGTCCGTCGTTCGTTGAAAATGCAATCAAGTTTATTAAAAACGCTAGAATCCAATTATTAGTCAATCGAACAAATAAAAATACGTGTATTACATTAATACTAACTGTTCTTATCATTATAGATCACCTTAAGAATTTCTATAATGATAATGTACTTTGCTTGACTTAAAGAGGCAAATATAAACAAATAATAAATGGGCTGCCAACAAACCTGCTACCACCATATATGCTGAGCCACTCGAACCCTCAATTTATCCATATATTTGGAAAGAACGTGTCGCTGTTGACATCGCGATGCCCAATGTCTGCACTATATCTACGTGTATGAGTTTAAGGCAAGTGCAATTATCGAAAAAAATACGTATTTCACGAAGAACTATAACGAGAGAAGATATCTACCTTGAAACACTTTGTCGTCTTTTTATGCGACTTTTTTTAATCAAATTTCGATACTGCCACTCGTAATATCCAATTCTGGTACTCCTTGATGTTTGTGCTGGGTCTTTTAAGTTAACCCAAATAGGGGTTGATGTTGCCGTAGGCCTACTTAATAATGAGCAGTCTATTCGTAATATTTTGCTTAATGCGAAATGCAAAATGCGCGTCCCTTGCTATTCTATGCTCTATGTAAAATTCAACGTCATTAAATTGCATTAGCTATTTTGCGTAAATATTTTGCTGTCAAATATAAGTTTTATGATTCGATGAGGTTCCCAACACCAAGGCAGTGCTTTTCATTCACATATTTGCATATTTCATTCGTCATGAGCGCTCTATCATATAAGTTGTGCATGTAGCTTTTGTTTTTTATTAAAATTTACAAAAATATTGGATCCTGTCCTAGCAACAGAATGATTTTATTATGAGACGAGCACTAGCAGGCTTCGTTCACTCAAATATAGTGTGGAGTTTTGCTGATTGGCTAAAAATATAGTATGTGAAGATGGAAATCTTACCTTAATTATACATGCTTTAAAGTGTTAGATTATGTGTTTGTTCACACCCACATTGCGTACTAGAAAGCAGAATGAAGACTAAATGTATTGAGGTGAAACTGACTCGTATTATTTCCTATACTAACGGTGTTCCCCGTTCACATGTGACGTCCTTACCAGTCCTACCGGTGTTCTTCGTTCCCACACAACTACCTGTCCTTTTACCATACAAAGGCCTGATATGTCCATGTTCCTTTGTGTAGCGGAGCTACACAGCTCCTTAAGTCAGAGGAAGACTTAACGCTCAATGAGCAACTTTGCTTCAATGAACACGACTCAGAGAGTCAACAAGCTCAGAGAGCTTACGGTCCCTGTTCCAGGGGGACCAAACGATTCAAGATA